TTTTTTTTTTTTGAGATGGAGTCTTGCTCTGTCCCCAGGCTGGAGTGTAATGGCAAGATCCCCGCTCACTGCAACCTCTGCCTCCTGAGTTCAAACGATTCTCCTGCCTCAGCTTTCCCAGTAGCTGGGACTACAGGTGCCCGCAACCAGGCCTGGCTAATTTTTACTAGAGATGGGGTTTCACCATACTGACTAGGCTGGTCTTTTAGCTCCTGACCTTGTGATCCTCCTGCCTGGGCCTCCCAAAGTAGTGGGATTACAGGCATGAGCCACTGTGCCGGGCCTAGTTTACCTTTTAAGAGGCTCAACCTGGCCCGTGTGTGGAGAAGAGATGGGGAGAGTACACAGAGAGGTCCAGATTCAATATCTCATCTCCCACCTGCTTGCTGCTTGCCCCTCTCCATACAGATGGTCAGGAGAGGGTGGTGGGGAGAGGATGGGCAGAGCACAGCTTCCAGGGTTAAACCCAGAGGTGCTGAGGGTCTCCCAGGCTCTGCCCAAGTGAGCCAGTCCCTGAGGGGAGGGGACATCCTCCCCTCTGAGGCACTGCTCTGCTGGCCCAGCACAGCTCAGTCTGGGTTTAGAAAGGGAGGGACTTTCAGCTTCTGCCGTGGGGAGCCGAGGGTCTGTCTTTACCCCCAGGAAGCCACATTAACTTCAAGGAGCTCCTTGCAGGCCCCCTGCAGAATGAAACCTGTACACAGAGTTGCTCCTGGGAGATCGAAGGTTAAACGCTGAGTACACCGCAGAAAAAACCCACCAGCTCACCAGGAAAGTTGCTGAGACAGCACTGTCCCTGGTGAGAAGCCCCTCCCCAACCGTGCTTGGCCCCAGGTGGTTCCTGGAGCTTCTTATCTCTGCCCCCTGACCCTCCAGGGCTGGCAGCTTCCGCTGAACTTCCAAGAAAAAAACGAAGCCTCTATCTAGATGGGGTTTGTTTGCATCATCTACACACTGTGTGGACCAAGGATCAAGATTCCCCTGTGGAGTCTTGATAGCTTTGCTTACATCCTCAGGGTAGAACAAAGACAAGGTGCTAGTGGTGGTGTCACTGGGTGGCTTAAGGGGGGGTCTCTCTGCTTCCTACACCAGGGCTGGGAATTCTTGGGCAGCACAGCATGGGACAGAGGAGGTGAGAGGCCCAGGGCTGAAACAGGGTCCTGAAGGCCCAGGCCAGAGCCCCCTCCCTGAGGGCTCATATCTCAGGGTCCAGCAGTGGGTGCCACGCCCCCTAGAGCACTCACAGCCCAACAGAACCAGGATCCCAAAATATCATGTGACTGCCTTTTCTTTTTCTTTTTTTTTTTTTTTTTTGAGACAGGGTCTCACTCTGTCTCTCTGGCTGGAGTGCAGTGGCACAATATGGCTCAGTGCAGCCTCAGCCTCCAGGCTCAAGAGATCCTCCCGCCTCAGCCTCCTGAGTAGCTAAGATCACCACTATGCCTGGCTAATTCCACCCCACCCCACACACACACACCCCACCCCCGTAGAGACAGGATCTCACTATGTTTCCCAGGCTGGTCTCAAACTCCTGGGCACAAGGGATCCCATCCTCCTGCCTCAATGACTTTGCTTTTTAAGCCCCTTGGTCATGACAACTCTGCTTTGTTATGAAAACAGTAAAAGCAAATCATGGTGCTCTCACACAGTCATACTCTAGATGCCCAGGAAAAGTCGTTGTGAGTCTTTTAAAAAATAAAGGTGCCTCACCAACATTCCCCCCATACCCCTTTTTTAAAGAATCTCTCAGGATGTGTGTGTTCATTTAGAGCCACATGCATTTGTGAGAGCCAGCTGGGGCTGAGACCAGGTACGCTAACACGTGGTAGATGCTAACACGTGGTAGACAAAATACTCCAAAACCTAGGGTCCGTAGGGAGCTGCTGGTGCAAGCTGGTGACAAGCAGAGTGTGCCCCCCGCTTTCAGTGGGAATAGGCTTCTTTATTATTTTCTGTGGCTGGGGCTCTGAGCTCCAGCCCCAGAGGCAGTACCATTTGGTGTTTGCTGAGTGAATGTCAGACCTCTCAGTGTATGACAGATTGAATTTGAGGCCTTCATTTTGAAGGTGAGGAAAACAGAGCCCCGGAAGGGAGATGCCTGGCCCAAGATCACTTTCATTCATTAGCTCACTGAACATAGAGGAAATCTATGAGTATATATGCATTTATGCACAAACACATTTAAATTGGCATGTATATAGGCATTGCAATGCATTGTGGTAAGTACTGCAAACGAGAATGGGCAGGAACACATTATTACAGAGTATCTCAGGCACTGGGAGTAGCTTCCTAGAGGAGATGAATCTTGAAGGAGTTTGTCATATTGTGGGTGGGGAGGACGCTCAGGTAGAGGAAACAGTACAAGCAAAGGCCTAGAGGTGAGCAGGCGAGGGGTGTGGAGAGACGCAGTCACACATCTGGGGTGTCCAGGAGGGAACAGCAGGGCAGGGTAAGTCAGGAAGAGGTTGAGCAATGGATCTGAGTGGAGAAGGGCCTTGTAAGCCTCAGAAGGAAGCTAGGCCTTTCCCTGGGGGCTCTGATAGCCAATAATAATAGCGATGACAACAGCAATGACCAACACCACCTGCCACTTATCCTGGACCCAGTAAATGCCAAGGATTCTAACCTGCCCTCTTTGGAGGGTTATCATATACCTATGTAAAGTGTCATTAGCCCTTCGAGGATTGAACGTGGGTTCTTGTCGACTGGTTGTTTGCCTCCACAAAGCTCAGGTCATTGGGCGTGAACTTACAGGCAGTGTTCAGAGGCTTGTGGACACTCACGGACTCTGGTGTGGTCAACAGAGTGTTTGGTGGTAGCTGAATCTGTTTTGGGACAGTGAGGGGTTAGCAGCTGGTCACATCTGGGCCAGACTATGAGGTATCATCCTGAAAGGCTACCCAGCAGCAAGAAGCCAAGGTCCACTGAAAAGTGGTTAAGTGTCACTAATATGGACAGCGTTGACTGTGCCCTTTCTAGGTACCCAGCATGTGCTAGAGTTTCACAGATTGCCTCACTGAATCCTCACTGATGCGGTAAGAACGCTCTGTTCCCATTTTACAGAG